CGCTCGGGTGAAGCCGAGAAGATGCCAGCGAGGAAGGGGAAGGAAAGGAAGGAACAGGAAAGGAGGAGGGCACCACACAACATCGTCAAAACAAAGAAGGCGATGAATGGGTGCTTGGGGGGGGTTGCTGTCCATATCTATATATATAACATTACGTCGGCTTGCCCCTCTACAGGAGGACTATTCAAAGATGGTCACAAGATATTGCGGGGAGCATGTTTGGTGCATGTTTGTGTATGTTTCATTATTCGCCCACAAGCCCCCTGCAGGCGGAACGCGGCCGAGCTAAATATAACACTACTAGCCCCCCTGTCATGGGAGGCACAAAGACAGACTAGTACTAGATGTCCTCCTTGGAGGAGCGCGCCCAACCCGAACATACGATATATCCATATTGTGGCAGATCGTTTCCCGAGCGGCGTGGCCAGAAAGCGCCCGCCACGACGCATAAACTACAAGCTTTCTCGGCGCGCGCGTCGCCTTTTTTTTGGGGGGGGCGGCGCACACATGGCGACGCGGACATGTCCGGGGGGGCATTCTTGAAGGGGCCCTGGGACACACAAATAAATACACACAAATAAAACGATTCCCCATATTTCCATATGTTTTCTAGGCTTTTGTCTTCCCCCCCACTTCCCATATTTTCCCATATTTTCTGGGGGATCGACGATGAATTGTGTCTGTGTGTTTCTTTTTCCCTCCTGCGTGCAGAGACACCCCCAGCTCCTGGGGCCCAGCGGCAGCGCCTGCGGCGGGGCCGGACCAGAGCATCGTTCTCCGTCTTCGTGCTGTGTGCACTGTCCCTTGCGGTGTCTTCGCTCCGCCCGTGGTGCAAAACGACAGCAGAACGAGAACTGTCCACAGAGTCGCCCAACCACCGCTTCGCTCGTGTGCAACGTAGGATGGACAACCCCGATCTCGAGCTACGTGGGCAGATGCCGTCGCCCAGGCTTTCTGACATGCTCGGCCGGCATCGGATCTGGAAGCCGGGTCGAATCGAAAGGTGCGTCGGATCGCGCTGCATCGGCGCGGAATCGAACTCGAGTCGGATCGGCTGCGCCGGGATGCAAAACAGCGCCGTGAAAGCATCGGGCAACAAGGGACCCTGAGATCCGACGTCAAGAAGAAATTGATGGAGACCTGAGCCCTGGACCCAATGTCTGCACCAGCTTCCGAGCCGGATGGATCCGTGAGGGCCCGGAGGCCAGGAACAATTCGGGCGACCCAAAAGGGGGTCCAGCTGCAAGGGGGTGATGATTGAGAGTTGTACTGCATTCTATTGCAACTGATGCGTTGCACGCGACAATCCAGCAAGACATCTGAGCCCCGGGACGTATCGCACGCCCCAAACGTAGCATTGCGACCCCACAAGTCGATTGCACCGAACCTATTGCACCACCCCCTTGCCGCTGTGGACCCCCTGTCGGGTCAACCCGAAACTAGGCTCGGTGGTGGACAACCCTCCCTTTAGAAAACCTCCCCTTAGTAAAAACGGCCTGGGACCGAAACCGACGGACCTGGACCCGCAGAAATGACGGCCGCGACGCCCTCTCGCGAACCGAAAACGGCCAATCTCTTAATCGACGTGTCAGGGTAGGAGGTCTGTCCACCCCCGATAGGCAAGAGCGCCCGTGGCGAACGGGCTCCGACGCCAGGGCCTCCGGGAGGCGAGCCGGGTCGGGCCCGCAGGGCCCACCGCGTCGGGCCGGGCCCGGCCTTCGGCGTGATGCCGAAGGCGGCGCCGAGGGCGTCGCCGGGGCGCACGCACACCCTCGCCGCAGGGGGGAAGAGACCGAAGATCTACGGTTCGGTCGGGCGTCTCCCCCTCCAGGTGGGTTTTGGACGGCAAGCTAACAAAATACCCCCAAAACATGCTCCAGGCATGCTAGAAACCAATTCAAAAACTTGTCCCTTGACGACTTTTGTGTTCTTGTTGGATGTTCCCCCTGTAGAGGGACGTGCCCGACTTCAATTTACGGGCCTGGGTCAATGCAGACCCGGGTCCGTCGGGCTCTGCAGGAGATCCTGCAGGATCCTACGCACAAGCTGGGGCCGGTGCGACCCTCGGCTGCACGTAGGAGTGACCCTCGGCAGGAGCGACCTTTGGTGTGCGACTTTCGGGGGCCGCGGGGAGGCCGAACTGGAGCGCGCAGGCCGCTGCGGTCGCATCGCGTCCAGCCCTCTGGGGGCCCATCCGTGCCCGCACCAAAAAGGTCACTCCGGCGAAAGGCCTCTCTTACATATACAGTCGGCCTTGATTGGACAGGACACGCAAGAGGGCACAAGACCCTTCCGAGGGCCACATCGCCGTAGGAGTGTAAGAAGGCACGCGTCGCGAGGCACAGGACACAAGGGTACCCTTGAGCTGGCAGGGTCGACCTACTAATCCGGGCCGACTGTAGGCGACACCCTGGCCCCGCAGGGTACTGCAAGGTCTGGCGCTCTGGCCGACCCCCGTCGGCATGGACCCCCCGTCTCGAGGCCCCCGAGGAGAAGAGTCGCACCGCCGGCGCCGGCAGGCCACCGTTCCCGAGCGAGGATTATGTCGGGCGTGTCCCCCTACAGGGGGATTTTCGACGATTTCTTTTTTTAACCCAAAAATGCCACAGAACGGTAAAACAAATACTAAAAAATAGCCCCCAGACTATTTTTGGATTTTTTTTTGTTTTTCCTATTTTTGGGGTATTTCTTCTTTTTTTCTCGTCGAAAATCTCCCTGTAGGGGGACAGGCCCGACTTCAAAGCGAGGAGGGGCCCACGGTGCTCCCCGCCTCAGGCCTCGGGGGCGGGGCGCCGCAAGACGGGGGGGCCACGCCGCCGGGAGGAGCCTCCCCCCTCGTCCGCCTGGTCGGCGGCGAGCGTTGGGGGGGGACGTGAGGAGGACAAGGCCTTCTCAGTGCATTGGGACTTGCCAGGGCCTAAAGAAATAACTTTTTTTTTCTGGGCCGGAATTATCTCGGCCGGCCGCGTGGGCGGATGTTGGGACCATTCTTGAGGTATTTTAATTGAATTTTTCGTCCAGTAGGGGGACACGCCCGACTTAATCCCCGTCTCTCCTCCTCCTCGCCTCTACTCCTCCTCTCGGGTCGGGCGAAAGGGGGGGATAGCAAAGGGAGGGTCTGATAATCAGCTCACGTAGCTGATTTTCCCGGCGCCTCCCGGCGCCGGAGGCGGCCGTGTATCGAGGAACGGGCCCCTCGGTGGGGCCGAAACCAGCTGCACGCAGCAAATGTCGTAACCCCCCCTTTCCCAATACCCCCCTTTCGCCCGGCCCGAGTGAGGAGGACAAGGCCTTCTCAGTGCATTGGTGTTCGTTGTGTTTCTTGGTGTTGTGGGTGCGACTTTGCCACTTTCAGTCTGCATTCCTTGCCGCACAAACAACCTCTTGGCTACGTGCCAGTTTTCCACTCGCAGTTGCTGTGGTAGGCCTTCCCAGAAGGCCCGGCAGTCCACGGGCCTTCTGAGAAGTGTTCTGCACCTTCCCCGGAGACAGACAAAACAACCTCTCAAGAAGGGGCGCGGGCCGCCCGCGCGGCGCGCTACATGGGAGACGGGGGCGCTCCCGCACGGCCTGATGCGGACACCTTCATTTCGCGCCAGCGCCGGCGAAGACGACCCCCTTCTTGTGCGTCGCCCACCTGGCTTCGAAGGCGTTTCGTTCTTAGAGCCAGGCAGGTCAACCTGTGTAGAATTCGCCCCCCACCCCACCACCCGCTGCTCTTTCAGACATCGCTGGGCCGAAGCAAAGGCGTGCAAGCGAGTCCCGATTCACGTGAAGTTCAGATTTCCATCGGGGGCTCGCCACGCCCCCCGGCCCCTCCCCCTACACTGAAGTCGGGCATGTTCCCCGTACACAAGAATTTTGAGCAAAAAAGGAAAACATACACCCAATGTAAATCAACAGTGAGAAAACAAAATATTCGAAGCATCGTCCCAAGACTATGTTTTGACTATTTTTGAATGTGGGCGGATGTTGGGACCATTCTTGGGGTATTTTAATTGAATTTTTCGTCCAGTAGGGGGACACGCCCGACTTAATCCCCGTCTCTCCTCCTCCTCGCCTCTACTCCTCCTCTCGGGTCGGGCGAAAGGGGGGGATAGCACAGGGAGGGTCTGATAATCAGCTCACGTAGCTGATTTTCCCGGCGCCTCCCGGCGCCGGAGGTGGCCATGTATCGAGGAATGGGCCCCCTCGGTGGGGCCGAAACCAGCTGCACGCAGCAAGTTTCGTAACCCCCCCTTTCCCAATACCCCCCTTTCGTCAACCCTCCTCCTCCTCCTCCTCGTCTTCCTCCCCCTCCTCCTCCTCCTCCTCCTCCTCCTCCTCCTCCTCCTCCCTCCTCCTCCTCCTCCTCCTCCTCCTCCTCCTCCTCCTCCTCCTCCTCGCCCCTCCTCCCCTCGCCCCTCCTCCCCCTCCTCCTCCTTCTCCTCCTCCTCCTCCTCCTCCTCCTCCTCCTCCTCCTACCTCCTCCTCCTCCTCCTCCTCCTCCACCTCCCCCCCCTCCTCCCCCCCCTCCTCCTCCTCGCCCCTCCTCCTCCTCCTCCTCCCCCTCCGTCCCTTCTCCTCGGCGCGCCGCCTCACGTCGAGGCTCTCCTGGCCGCTGCCGCGCCGGGGCCCCGCGCCGTGCCGCCCGGGGGAACGCGGCGCGCCGCGCGGCGGCGCCCCGCGGGCGGCGGGGGCCCCGCGGGCGGCGGGGGCCTCGCGGGCGGCGCGCGCGAGCGACCAACAAACATCGCCGAGCACTAGGTCGGGCATATACCACATGTCTATGTATATATATATATATATACATACATGGCCAGCAAATCGTCCGGATACCATCTTCGGACTATTCTGCAACAGCCCCCCATGTAGAGGGGGTCGGGCATGTCCCCCTGCAGGGAGATGTTGGACGAAACGTATGCAGTGCGGGCGCGGCCGCAAGAAACCCTCGCGAGAGACCCAACCCCGAGAACCCGTGCGCGAGGTGTACCTGGGGGGAAGCCCGGAGCACCCTGAACGCAGCAGCTCCTTCAACGGCTGCCGAAGTCACCGCGCAGCGCGAGGAGCGAAGAAACCTAGGATACCCTGAAAAAAAACATATGGATTCTTGATGGATGCGCGCCCCCAGTATACCAAAAATATTCAAAAATGGTCCAGAAATCGTCCGGATACTATATTTTGGCTATTCTTGAACAGCCCCCCATGGAGAGGGACAGGCTCGACTGAAGCCAAGCACCCCAGACAGGATCACGTCGTGGAGCGAAACAAAAATCACAACCCTGGGATCCTGGCGACCCAAACTTTTCGAGCCGGACGTGTTTTCCCCCGGTGTCGGGTCCCGGGACCCTCGCAGATCGATCCGGCCCGAGAAATGATGCAGAAAGATGCCCAGATATTCGAAGTCGTGATTTTTTCTATGCGGGTTCTCCCAGAAGACTGGACTCGTTCCCCAGGACCAGCTTTTCATCCTAAGTAGTTTTTTGACAGTCTCGAGGCCCCGCGAGGGCCCCTAGGGGCCAAACGTTGAGACAAACCTCTGTATTGTTTTTTTCCATATGTTGGATCTCTTTGTGGGGTCTAGGGCTCAGGCCGCGACTTCTCACTATGTTTCAATTGTTGTTCGAGACGTCGAATCTCAGTGCACGGTTTCCCCAGGGCCGTAGGCGACCTGAGGAGGACGAGGATGAGGTGGAGGATGGGGAGGGGGAGGAGGAAATGGAGGAGGAGGAGGAGGAGGAGGAGGAGGAGGAAACAGGATGAGGAGGAGGAGGAGGGGGAGGAGGAGGAGAGGAGGAGGAGGAGGAGAGAGGAGGAGGAGGAGGATGGGGGAGGAGGAGGAGGAGGAGGATGGGGATGAGGAGGAGGGAGGGGGATGAGGAGGGATGAGGAGGAGGAGGAGGAGGAGGAGGAGGGGAGGAGGAGGAGGAGGAGGAGAGGAGTAGGAGGAGGAAGAGGAGGAGGAGAGACGAAACAAAACGACAAGGAGGAGGAGGAGGAGGAGGAGGAGGAGGAGGAGGACGAGGAGGGAGGAGAGGAGGACGAAGAAAACACACAGCGAGCAGACGCCACCATGCAGGAGGAGAGGGAGGGCGGCAAAGGCAGCAAGGCAGCAGCAGACAAGCGCGCACGCAAGTCAGCAGCAGCAAGGCAGCAGCAGGCAGAGCACACAAGTGCCCAGACCCCCTGGGGTCATGAACAAAACCGTGGCGGAAAAAGGTTCGCTAGGTTCGCTCTCTGGCCATTTATCGGACTCTCCTGGGAGCCATCTCTCTGGCAATCGGGGCCGTCAAAACACGACTCGGATTACGTTGCACCCGTCGTACGACCACATCCCAGAAATACTTTGAAGCACAAGGAAAAGTTTCGAAACAGTGTCGAACGAGCATCGCCTCCCAAGGCCCGACACGTGAACACCCTCCCGTTTCGGTACTTTCTTGGTGTTCGACATTCTTCCTGGTGGGCAAGGCTAAAAGACATTGGAACATCATAAGACTCGGGGTGAGCAGACGGTCCCGGGGAAGGGCTCCAGAGAACTGATGGGGCCCGCGTCATGGAACAATCATGGCGCCAGGGGTCCATGTATATAATTGCACATGGCTCGGTCTGGACCGCTCAGCGGCGAAGCCCGTGGGGGGGGGGGGAAGTGCGAAGGGGCGGGCCTTCTCGGAAGGCTCGGGAATCCCAAAGCCTTGTGTGAGCGTTTGTTTTTTATTCGGCGTGTCGACATTGGGCGGAAGGGGGGGAAAAGGGGGTGTCTGGCCCCGGACCTCTGTTTTATTCGGCTGTTTGGAACCGTGCGTCCTCTGGCGGGGAGGCTAAACAACCAAGATCCAAACCAAAGGGGGGGGGTGCAAGGGCCCGCGCCGACCGGCAAAACAATGCATAAAACAACGATCACTTTTTGAAAAGGGGTCTGAAGCTTCCCGGGAGGTGCAGACAACTTCCCCGAAGGCGCTGGGCCTTCTGAGAGAAGTCCCGCCGCCTTCTGAGAGGACCTCCTCTCATTTTCACTTCTCCCCCCTCGCCCGCCGCCGAACACTGTTGTCCGTTGTCGTGCTGTTCTCGTTTCCCCTTGGAGCCCGAAATAATGAACAACAGAAATCATCCTAACCCTTTGGGAGGGGACCTAAGTTAGGAGAGCCAACAACCACTAAGGATATTTAGAAGGTCTATTATGCATATGCACAAAGCCAATCCGCCCATAATTCTGATCTTCAATGCAAAGACGGGCGACCTCGGAGAGGTTCCGTTTATAGTGCTGTCAAGGCTGGAAGAGGTTTTTTTTTAATCTGCGCAAAACAGTGCTGTCCGTGCTCGTGCTGCTCTCCCCCCACCCTTGTCACCGTGGTTTGCCACGGCCGGCCGCCGCGCTCTGGCCCTGCGCGCCTGGCCGCTGCTGCCCCCCCCCCCCCCGGCTGCTCAACGTCGACCTCTTCGGCGTCTGAGCGTCCCTCCCTCCTCTCGGCCGCCCCCTCTCCCCCCCTCGCCCGCCGGCCAACTCGCCAGCCAACGCCCCACATCTAGCTCCTCGCTGGAGCGGAGCTGCTCGCCGCCTCGCCCCCGACGAAAAAAGTGTTCGTGCTGCTCTCGCTTTGCACCGGGGGCCCGGGAGGAGGGGCAGCACGAGCGGTGCTTACCAGCCTGGAACGTATCCCTATCCCTACGCTGGGCACCTCCTCGTCACGATGCCAATCTCAGGGATCCCCTTATTTTTTGAGGGCGACTCCCTAAGACTGTCGTCGCCATTTGGCGTGTCGAACTTGGGGATAGGGATACGCTCGGGGCTGGTAAGGTGTCCGCCGTGGCCCCCTGGCGGATGAGAGCCCCGCGGGTGCTCGCCTGCGCGCCGGCCGCTCTCGGAGGGCGGCGGGCGCCTCCCGCCACGGGCGGCGGGCACCCGCCGCCCGTGGCACCCGCCGCCCGTGGCGCCAACGGGCACCCGCCGCCCGTGGCGCCCGTGGCACCCGCCGCCCGTGGCGGCGACATGCACCAACAAACATGCCGCCCGGAGTGTCTCGTCTCGCTCGCCATCGCTCGGACGTCCACTCCCTGTGTTTTTGTGTTCGGTCTCGTGCGTGTGTTTTTTTTTTTTTTTCGCCAAACGATCAAGGATGCTCCTCGAGGGTCCTCGCCGAAGGAAAAATGCACACGTCCGAGGCGGTCTCGAGCTCGGGCCCGTGGTTGACGAGCGAACAATACACGCCCAGGACCATTTTGCCGTCGGCGGCGAGGCGGCGAACCCCGCTCCAGCGAGGAGCTAGATATGGGGCGCTAACTAGCGAATTGGCCGGCGGGCAACGAGGGGGGGGGGACGGCCGAGAGGAGGAAGGGACGCTCAGACGCCGAAGAGTTCGACGACGAGCAGCCGGAGGGGCAGCAGCAGCCAGGCGCGCAGGGCCAGAGCGCGGCGGTCGGCCGTGGCGAACCAGGTATAGTAAGGATGCGCGATAAAAATGCAAGAGCCTTAGAAGCCCAGTTTGGAGCTTCTCGAGCGGGGCGAGGCCAACGAAAGCGACCGAGGATGGACCGAGGAGGCAAGGATGCAAGGGGAACCTTGGGAAAATTGCCCATCATTACTATGCGGGTTGACCGTACGGTAGGTTCGCGCGGCGTCGGCGCGTGCACAGGTTTTGATCACACAGCGTCGATCGTTCCACCTTGAACCGATCGCGGCCTGGATCGTTCCAGGTTGCATTCCGTTTGCTCCAGTGGCGTCACCGCGTTCCTCAGGTCTTCCGCGTCGTAGAAGTCAACCCTGAACGCCACAGGCTGGCGTCGCTGGCGAGCCAACGCCACATAAACCTACCGTACCCATAGGGTTAAGTCGGGGGCGCGCAAACATGGATTAGCGATCCATGGATTTGGCACGCGGTCGCCAAATCCATGGATCGGAGGAGGTGCCCTCACCAAAATGTGGCCGGTGCCCCCTCGCTCGCCGGCGGAAATCCGCGATTTCCCATGGAAACGGGACCCGTCGCTAATCCACGCCCCCTTGATCCATGTTTGCGATCGCCTGAGATGGGTACAGGTGCATGTGCTGCTCGTTCGCCACGCTGTCAGGAGGAAAGAGGGAAAGAGGATCAGGGACACGCAAAGAAGCAGGCACACACATCCCAGGATGCCCCCTGCTTCCCCATCTATTCTCGGGGTGTTCGTCTTCCCCCTCGGGCTCCAAAGATTGTCCCCTATTTTCCTGGGAATCGACGATTCTGAAGGGGCCCTGGGATACACACAAATAAATAGACACAAGTAATAGGATCCCCTTATATTTTCGCACATGTTCCGGGTTTGTGGCTTCCACCCACTTCCCACATTCTCCCATATTTTCCTGGGAAGCGACGAGTCATTGTGTGTGTTTTCCCCGCCTGAGATCCCCTTCCTGAAAAAGAACTGTGCACATATGCCGCTGCTGGCCAGGCCCCGGAGCGGCGCACACGCCCTCCTGCCCTGGCCGGCGGAGGTGTCCGTGCGCACCGACCCGGGGCCAAGCCAGGGGTGGGCCTGGCCAGGATCGGTGCGTGTGCTCCTCCTCCTTCTCCTCCTCCTCCTCCTCCCCTCCCTCCTCCTCCCCCTCCTCCTCCTCCTCCTCCCCCCCCCTCTCCTCCTCCTCCTCCTCCTCCTCCTCCTCCCTCCTCCTCCTCCTCCTCCTCCTCCTCCTCCCCCTCCTCCTCCTTCTCCTCCTCCTCCTCCTCCTCCTGCTCCTCCTCCTCCTCCTCATCCTCCTCCAGGCCGTTCTCTTCGCCCGACGTTGTCGAGCTCGGGGGCTCGTAAGGAAGGAGGCCGCACGTCTAGAACGAGTCGCACCGTCAAATGTCTGGGAGTCCCCGCGGGGCTTGGCTCCCAGGCCGGGCGCCTTCGCGAAAGCGTGTCCCAAATATAACACGAAGTCGAGGATGCCCTCCCACAGGCGGATTGTCGAAGAAAGGACAAAAAAGAGCCGGGAAAAAAAGACTCACCAAATAAATAAAACAAATGATCGGCAGATCGTCCCCATATTATGTTTTGGGTATCTTTGAACACTCCTACTGTAGAGTTAGGCCGAGAATGTCACCCTACAGGCGGATTTTGGACGAACGACATGTTCAAATGTTCTAAACATACTCCAAATGGGTCAACAATGCAAAAACACATCGTCCCCAAACTATCTTTTTACTATCTTTGAGGATTCCTCCTGTAGATGGACAGGCCCGACTGAACAGAAGTGGAGCCGGCATTGCTCGGCGCGAGCCCAAGGAGGGAGGTGAGAAGGGGCGGGCCTCCTCCTCCTCCTCCTCCTCTTCCTCCTCCTCCTTTCCCTCCTCCTTTTCCCTTTCCTCCTCCTCCTCTTCCTCCTCCTCCTCCTCTTCCTCCTCCTCCTCTTCCTCCTTCTCCTCCCCCTCCTCCTCCTCCTCCTCCTCCTCCTCCTTCTCCTCCTCCTCCTCCTCCTCCTCCCCCTCCAGGCCGTTCTCTTCGCCCGACGTTGTCGAGCTCGGGACCTCCATAAGGCCGCTCGTCTAGAACGAGTCGCACCGTCAGATATCAAGGGGTGCCCGCGGGGCTTGGCTCCCAGGCCGGGCGCCTTCGCGAAAGCGCGTCCCAAATATAGCACTAAGTCGAGGATGCCCTCCCACAGGCGGATTGTCGGAGAAAGGAAAAAATAGCCGGGAAAAAAATACTCACCAAATAAATAAAACAAATGATCGGCAGATCGTCCCCATATTATGTTTTGGGTATCTTTGAACACTCCTACTGTAGAGTTAGGTCGGGCATGTCACCTTACATGCGGATTTTGGACGAACTAGTTGTGTAAATATTCTATAAATACTCCAAAGTGGTCAAGCAATGCTAAAACAAATCGTCCCCAGACTATCTTTTTACTATCTCTGGAGATTCCTCCTGTAGATGGACAGGCCCGACTGAACAGAAGTGGAGCCCGCATTGCTCGGCGGCCAGCCCAAGGGGGGGAAGCGAGAAGGGGCGGGCCTTCTCGGAAGACCCAGAAGGCGCGAGGGCTTCCGAGAGGCCCCGCCGACTTCACTTCTGAGAAAGCCTTCTCCTTCTCGCTTCCCCTCCGCGTCTTCACCGACGCTGGTGCGCGAGCTGCCCGCGTGAGGTCGCGAGCTAGCGCCCTTGTCTCCAGTGTGGCCAGCCGCGCAGGCGGCCCGCGTAGGCCGCCGCGCAAGGCCACCACGTCTTCTAGCGTGAGACCCCATGTTACCAGCCTGGGAACATATCCCTATCCCTATGCTGGGCACCTCCTCATCACGATGCCAATCTCAGGGATTCCCTCATCTCTTGAAGGGCGCATCCCCAAGACTGTCATCGCCTTGGGGCGTGCCAATCTTAGGGATAGGGATACGTTCGAGGCTGGTAACCATGTCTTCTCGCGAGCGGCCGCCATGTCTCCCCGCCCGCCGTCGACTTGAAATGCAGGAAAAAAGTAAGGCCGCCCAGAGTATCTCCCACAGGCCTGCCGTCGTGCAGGCCACATGGGGCCCGGCAAAGGGGCAGCAAGAGCAGCGTCCGTCGCGGCTCCTCCGGGGGCCGCGATGGACGGCCGCCCATGTGAGCCACAAGCACGGGCGATCCTATAGGCAAGGACCTCTGGTGAGTAGCAATGACAGGACCCATAGACCTTTGTGAGGGGACCTATGTTAGGAGGGCCAGAAGCATTAGGGATAGGAGGTCTTGCCGTGCGGATCTCTTATCCCGAATGAGGAGAACGGAGACATAAGTCAGGCCACGTCTCCACTATGCTATTCGGGTTCGGGGTTGCTTGTCCTCGACGATTCGGTGCGCGGCTTTCTGGGGCCGCGGGGGGGCAGATCCTTGCGCGCAAGAGCCACTGCTGGGGAGACCCTGTGGGCCCGCACCGAGGGTCACCTCAGGAAAGGGTCACTTTTACGCCCTGCCGACTCTGGCACCCCAAGCGTCGTGCATGCAAGACGCCCGGAATGCCGGAGGCGAGTGCGAAACCGACCAGCCTCCTCCTGCCAGACGGCCGACGCCTCGCGAGCCCGGCTGACGGATGCTCCGGAGCCCATGCCGCCGCCTGGGAGGACGACGACGATGTCGGCGGCTGCTGACAACGACAGCGACGACAACGACGGGACCGACGAGGACGACGACGACGACGACGACGACGACGACGACGGCAGCTGCTGACATCGACAGCGACGACAACGACGAGGACGAGGACGAGGACGAGGACGAGGCGGAGGACGACGACGACGACGGCGGCGGCGACGACGGCGGCGGCGGTGGTCGGCGACGACGGCGGCGGCGGGGCCGGCGGCGGTGGTGGTCGGCGACGGCGGCGACGGCGGCGACGGAGACGACGGCGACAACGGCGACGGCGGCAGCGGCCAGCGGACGACAACGACGACGGCGACAGCGGCCACAGCGGCGACGACGACGGCGAATGGCGGCGGCGGCGGGCGGAGGCGGGCGGCGCCAGAGGCGGCGGCGGTCGCGTCTTCCCTTCACGCGCCACCTGGCCCCCAGACCCGTAGGCCAAATCCGCCCGAGCCAAAACGGCTGAGGAGGGGTAGGAGGGGTGGATGAGGAGTGCATGGAGGCGGGGGGGGAGGAGGAGGCAGAGGAGGTGGAGGAGGCGGAGGAGGGGGTGGTAGAAGGGGGTGGCCTGGGAGGGCGAAGTGGAAAGGGGGCTTGTAGTGGTGGCTTTGGGGCGCCGTGGCCCCATCCGTGGGCTCAGTTCTCTCGCAACACCACCCCGGGAGGCGCGGTGGGCGCTGGGGCCCAAAACGCGGCTCACGCCGAGGGTCGGGGCTGTCAGCGAGGGGAGGCGGACGATGAAGGGACGAAGAACGAACATCAAGACGAAACCAGGACGAGGATCGATTTTTCGTGAGGACGAAGCGAGGATCTCTGAGATCTGGCGGTTCTTGAGGTTTGTGTCGGGCGCCGCGGCCTTCCCAGAGCGTTCCAGAACGCTCTGAGAGAGTTCTGGAACGCTCTGGAACGGATTCGTCCTCGTCCTACCCCAATCCGAAGCAAACCATGGATCTTCGCAATGCAAGCCGACCCGACTCCGGGTTTCGTTTCGGCGGGAAGTGTCAGTTCATCGTGACGGACTTCACCTTCTGAGCAAGCATGGCGAATCCGCCAGTAGCAAAGCGATACCGAGAAGCGTCGGATTTCGAGCAAGTGCGATGTCTTAGATTCCATAACGAAATTGCGCAACAAGTCTGGCGCGATGTTGAATCCATGGACGCCCATACCACGTTAGAGTCAATGTCTCGCCTGAGGCTCAATCCAGCACGTTCTAAAGACAAGAGGTGCCAAAGTATTCGCCGAAGCACAAATCCGAAACGTGGCGCTGGTAGCACGGCCGCGCCAATCATCTCGGATCCAACAGCGCTTGCCTAATGAATCCCGAGCCAGGTAAGTAGGATGATGCGGCATCCCAGGAACACATCGTGGAGGACTGGAACCAGAATGGGCATAGTGAGGCGCAGGTTGTGGCTGCAGGCCGGCGGCGGGACGGCTGATGTTGGAGTGGGCGCACGCGTTGGCCACAAATTCCGTCGATCCTTGAAGTCACGCACTCTTGGTCACGATTGTGTCCTTCTTGAGCCACCAGTCAGGTCCAAGCACAATACACATAACATCTTCCCATGCACTCCTGTGGCCAAGGCACGAACCGACGTATCCATAGGCCCGCCGTTTCCGTTCAGACCCTGTTGCGCGCATTCTCCCACCATAGCTGGCTCCTGGATTCACGAGCTGATCTGAGGGGGTTCGCCTCGAAGTCGAACCATGTGAACTGCTCGTCCCACGTTGCCATGAGGATGGCGTGCAACAACTTGTGTGCGCTGCGCGATTGCCTCCTGCGTAAAACATCCATTACTTGATCAGCATGGCCGACCGTTTTTTGCAATCAATGATTTCCCCCTCCTGGCACTAGAGGGTGCGCAAAGCCTGCCGTAGCCTCTTGCTATACCATCGCATCGAGGTCACGCTTGAGCGATGGTGGAGAGACTATGGTGATAATGGTAATGATGGTGGTAATGATGGTGATGGAGATGACGACGATGGCGATGACGATGACGATGACGACGGAGATGACGATGACGATGTTGATGACGATGGCAATGACGATTACGATGGAGATGATAATGATGACGATGCTGATGCTGATGACGATGATGACGATGATACTGATGATGCTGATGCTGATGATGATGATGATGATGGCGATGATGATGATGACGATGGTGATGAGGATACTGATGATGATGATGATAATGATGATGCTGATGATGATGATGATGGCGATGATGATGCTGCTGCTGATGATGATGATGATGGCGGTGATGATGATGATGATGATGATGATGATGATGATGATGATGACGATGCGAATGACAATAAGAATGACGATGACAATGACGATTACGATAACGATGATGATGACGATGACGATGCCGATGACGATGATGATGCTGCTGATGATGATGATGATGATGATGATGATGATGACGATGCTGCTGATGATGATGACGATGATGATGCTGCTGATGATGATGATGATCATGTTGGTGCTGATGATGACGATGTTGATAATGATTAGGCTGCTGATGATGATGCTGCTGATGATGATGCTGATGATGACGATTAGAAGGAGGAGGAGGAGGAGGAGGAGGAAGAGGAGGAGGAGGAGGAGGACGAGGAGGAGGACGAGGAGGAGGAGGACGAGGAGGACGAGGAGGAGCAGGAGCAGGAGCAGGAGGAGCAAGAGGAGCAGGACGAACACGGAGGATGAGGCCCTGCATCACCCCCGCGCCGAGGCTCGGCAGCGGGACGCCGACGCCGCCGTGCTGCGCGCGAGCGAGCGAGCGCGGAGGCGAGGCGGCGCAGGAGGAGTGTCGTGGGCCCGCTGGGCCCGGGGCACGGGCCTGGAGGCCCCGCCCGTGGGCGGCGCCCCCCGGGAGCGCCAGCGTTGGGTCGGGCGTGTCCCCCTGCAGGGGGCTTTCGGGGCGAAAACTCAGGATGCCCCAACAATGCTCCAAAAGTGTATAACAAAAAATCGATGGGGGCGAAAAACCAGGACACCCCAAAATGCTCCAAAAAAGTGTTTAAAACAATACATAGCACCCCGCAATTGCGGATAAGAGTGAGGGGGCGGGCGCGGGCGACGCGGACGTCGTCGAGCGGGCGGACCTCGTGGCCCCCACCTTCCCTGTCGATGGCACTCTCCTCCTCCTCCTCCTCCGCGTCCTCCTCCTCCTCCTCCTCCTCGTCCTCCTCTTCCTCCTCTTCCTCGTCCTCGTCCTCGTCCTCGTCCTCGTCCTCGTCCTCGTTGTCATCGTCATCCTCCTCCTCCACCTCGTCCTCCTCTTCTTCCTCGTCCTCCCTCTCCCCCCCTCGTCCTTCCATCATCGTCCTCCCATTGTCGTCCACCCCCTCATCGGCCTCCATCATCGTCCTCCCATTGTCGTCCATCATCATCGTCATCATCATCATCATCCCCCTCCTCCCCCTCCTCGTCCTCCTCCTCCCCCTCCTCCCCCTCCTCGTCCTCCTGCTGCTCCTCCTCTTTCTCCACATTATCCTTACATCCTCTCTTCTTTCGCGTCCTCCTCGTCCCCTGTTTACTCCTCCTGCCTCCCCCTTCTTTCCCAAGATAACGGCAACGCAATCCTTTTTCCACTTTATGCTCCCCGACTTCTCTGATCAAGGCAACTCGCCAGGGCAAAGTTGCTGGACGGGCTGGTGTGGATGCGCGGCGCTTGAAGAGGTCGCTGCGGGCGCAGACGGCATGCAAAAATCCGCCGCCGAGCTTGTGCGGCATTGGTTTGAACAGTGAACCTGGTTTGGGTCGCGGGTGGGTCGCGGGCTCTCCACCTCCACCTGGAAGGAATGCAAAAGCAGCCCGCCGCAGGCGCCGAAACATGTGGTTTGTACACTGAACGTGGAATGGGTCGCGGGTGGGCCGCGGGTTCTCCACCGGGGACGAATGCAAAAGATGCCCGCCGCGGGCGCCGAAAAATTTGGTATGTACCCTGATCGTGGTCGCGGGTGGGCCGCGGGCTCTCCACCTGAAACGAATGCAAAAGATGCCCGCCGCAGGCGCCGAAAAATTTTGTTTGTACCCTGAACGTGGTTTGGGTCGCGGGTTGGTCGCGAGTTGGTCGCGGGGTGGGTCGCGGGCTCTCCACCTGGAAGGAATGCAAAAAAAGCCCGCCGCAGGCGCCGAAAATGGTGGTTTGTACCTTGAACGTGGTTTGGGTCGAAGGTGGGTCGCGGGTGGGTCGCGGGGTGGGTCGCGGGTGGGTCGCGGGTGGGTCGCGGGTGGGTCGCGGGGGGTCGCGGGGGGGCCGCGGGGGGTCGCGGGGTGGGTCGCGGGTGGGTCGCGGGGTGGGTCGCGGGTGGGTCGCGGGGTGGGTCGCGGGGTGGGTCGCGGGTGGGTGGGTCGCGGGTGGGTCGCGGGTGGGTCGCGGGGGTCGCGGTCGCGGGGCGGGTTGCGGGTGGGACGACGACAACAAACAACAACAAACAACAACAAACAACAACAAACAACAAACAACAACAACGAGAATCCGCACCGCGAAATCCCACTTCAGCCACGCACCCAGGGACAGTGAATGACCGTTCGGCCCCCTTTCTCTGATATTGGTATTGGGGCGAAAAATCAGGATACCCCAAAAATGCTCCGAAAGTGTATTAACAAAAATCTACTCAAAAATAGTCCCCAGCCTATGTTTTGACTGCTTTCGAATCAATTTTCCCCTGTGGAGGGTCAGGCCCGACTTGACGCCAGCGTGCAGGGGCCCGGGGACATACGGAGGAACACGCGCGGGGCCAAAGAGATCCCCCAGATTGCCCCATGTATGTTCTGGATTCGCGTCCCCCCCCCCACACACTCAGGTCGGGCGAAAGGGGGGGATAGCAAAGGGGGGGTCGAAGAATCGGCTCCCATAGCTGATTTCCCTGGCGCCTCCCGGCGCCGGGAGGCGCCCGCCCATGTGTCGAGGAATGGGCCCCTGGGCGGGGCCGCAACCAGCTGCATGCAGCAGATTTCGTACCCCCCCCTTTCCCAATCCCCCCCTTGCGTCCGGCCCGACACACCACTTCCCAGGAGCTCTCCCCAATTCTCCGGGGGATCTCGGCGGCGCGTCCTGCCTGCTCCGCTCCCGACGCTGTGCCCAGGACGGCCCGAGGAGGGCCCAAGGCGCGGCCCTAATTGAAGAGGCCCTGGGACACACAAGCAAATACACACAGATAAAAACATGTCCCATAGTTTCCCATAGTTTCTGGGTTCCTGTCTTCCCCCCCACTGCCCATCGTTTCCCATATGTTCCTGGGGAGTCGCCGATGAATTGTGTCTGTGTGTTTGTTCCCCTCCTGACTAATGTAAAACAGGGCTAGGCTCGGGATAACTCGCTCCAGAGCGTTCCGGAGCGCTCTCAGAGCGTTCCGGAACGCTCTGGAGCGGCCGCGGCGCCCAATACACCCTCCAAACCCGCCGACTCTCAGAGATTTCGAGTTATCCCGATCCGATTTTCTCCCGACCTTC